TGTTTATAATGTCTTGACATAAATGCAGTCAGGAATGATGCTGCTACCAAAACATTTGGCCAGTAACGTGGTTAGATAAAAAGTTGCTTGCTTACAGAATCTTGGTTTGGACGTTGCCGAATAAGCAGTTCAGTGTAGGTATGTTCAGTGTCTTTGGCTGTTCCATCAGGGTGGAATAACGTGGAGATTATTAGTTTTGTCTTGCAAAATGTAATAATGTTGCTTTCATGATTTATTCTTCAGTGGCTCTCTGACAGGAAGAAAAGAGCTTTGCAAAAGAAGGATGTTGGTGAGTGTTGTTGAATAAAGTGATGATTTATCTAGTCGATTGTTAAGCGCATGTTTTAATAAACCGTCTTTCTTTCCAATCTGTTCCCCAGACGTACAACGGAGGATCGAACTTATCCAGGATTTTGAAATGCCCACAGTGAGCACCTCCGTAAAGGTGTCACGAGATGGCCAGTACATTCTGGCCGCAGGTGAGAAGCTGAATGACCTTAACATCGGTGCTGTTTTTGGGGGGGGGGCTTTGGAGACTGGATATTGACACCTACCCCCCACATCCATGTACCTTATTGTGTCTTCGTAAAGGTGGACCTATTTGATCCAGTTATTGCAGTCTCTGTAGTTTAGTTTAACTGTTGATTTTAAAGGTGCTAGTAACAATGCTGATATAGCTGTCGTGACTAGAAACTTCTCGAACACTGAAAAAATTCCAATAAACCTACTGGTCATGGTTTAAACATGATAAGAGAACGTGTCAATCAGTATTGATATGTAGTTGTCATGGTTTCAGGTACCTACAAACCCAGGATTCGCTGTTATGACACCTACCAGCTGTCCCTGAAGTTTGAAAGATGCTTGGATTCTGATGGTAGGTGGGCAATGCAAGTGAACCCAGCGGTCTTTCTTGGCTTGTAAATGTATTAACTGTCTAACTCTTGGGTTTAACTAAACAGTTATGCCCACTGTAACAGTCACTTAAAACAAACAGACTTAAGAACTCTTGTATCCCTGCTGCAATTGCCCTTGTAAATTCCCTTTTAATTAATTTATTTCCATGTATTGTCCTGTGTGTGTGCTTGTGTAAATGTCCCATTTTCTTTTAACCACTGGTTGCTGCACATAAATTGCCGGGGGGGGATGGAATTTTAAATGAAAACACTATGTACCCTATAGCTGTCTGAATGTAGCTCTATTTTATGATAAACTCCTAATTGATGCAACTGTGGATGCTAGGCCACTGAATCCAACCATTTGGTCAGTGGCCAAACCTGCATTGTATTTATATGTTTAAGGAAAACAAAGCTAAAAACCCATGTTTGTAGTACAGCTAAATAAGTGGACATGGAAATTGTGTTCCTCGTGCCATGCATGTTTACATCTGAATTGTGTCTATGGAGGGAAAGTTATTCTTCAAAAGATGAAAAGTATTAAACAAATAAAAACTATGCTTGCAGCTTGCTGTGATTCTGGGAAAGTGGTTGGAAGGAAAACCGGAGTGTAATGGTGACTGGTGATGATGACTTGGGGACCAATGGTGGCCACCATGTTGGTTAGATTTTCTGCTCTCATAGTGACATTGTAGGAATAATTGCATCCTCTTAGGGATCCAATTTCATTGACAGGAGTGGTGTAGGCTATGTCATCATGACTTTATGTAAGGATGTGAAAGTACTCTTAAAGAATTAGGGCTAATAGTGTGCACAGGTATAGGTTATGCCCTCTGTAAGTTACACAATGGCAGTGTTTTGTGATATGTGTGCTCTCCTAAGGGTCTAGGTTTTGTTTAAAGAAGAGGTATGAGTCATGTTATCCGTTGTTACTCAGTGGCTTTGTGTTGGGGTGTGTAGGCAAACTGTATGGATTATGGTCCATTGTGTTTTGAGGTGGGGTTATGCTCGCCATAGACGCTTCGAATGGAAACCGGACACAGGTCTCCTGGCCAGCGTGTCAGGTTTTCGCAGTCGCGACCTGACTAATGAAAGCTTGCTACGGCCAGGGATTTAATACGGTTATTAATTTTTAACCACTTTGTCGCCTGGCCGTACCCCAGAGATCAGGTGACACAACAAAATGTCACGCGTTAATAGTTCTTATTTCGTCCTCCCAAAACTCAGATTGTTGGCTGGTCTATGTTGGGCTGTGTTTATTTTTATTTTTTGTCGTACCTCTGTAGTTTCATCCCAAAGTTTTTGCCAAAGTGTCATTGAAAAGGGCCTATGTCTGCAACTTAGGCCCTGGAGGACTGCATTTGCCCTTCTGGTTATTATTAGTATTATTATTATTATTATTTCTTTTAATTGAAATGTCTTGGTCAGACACTGGTGGATATACTTTATGGAACCCTGCAGGCGTATTTGTCTTTTGTATTGAACATATCCTAGTTATTTAGGAGCTGCCACAGTACGACACTTGGGAACCAATTCCAGTTCTGGGGATTTTGCTCTTGGACAAGGGCAGTTGAAGTGGTATACAAAACCTGATAGGCCATTCAGTGTGGGGGAAACTGGAGCACCCAAAGGAAATGCACTCAGACGCTGGAAGTCCATGTAAACTCCTTAGAGAAACGAGCCAATTGGACCAGAACCAAGAACCTGGTGAAAGTACCTACTGCTGTACCACAGCGCTGCCCAGAAACAAGGGGAAGGAGGCGGGGTTTAGTGGAGTTGCCTGTTCTAAGCGGTCAATTAAATATTGTGTGACAGCGAAACCCAGCAACCTCTGTGTTTATCGTAGTCCTGGATTCTGTGCTAACCCCTGTGTGCGTCTGGCCTTTCCGCAGTGGTGGCGTTTGACATCCTCTCCGATGACTACTCCAAGGTGAGAGTGTACCTCACGTGGGGACGTGTGCGGTCTCTATCCTGCCAACACATTTGTGCTTAACTATGACTGACCTATATACACAGAAAGGGAGGGCCATTTTCAGCGATAATGTTCAAGCCGATGCCTGGAATAAAAAAGTATTTTTTTGTAAAGGACATTCCTTCTTGTAATACTTGATTGTGTCAAAGACAGAGCTAACCTGAGTGAAACCAGCTGTGAAAAATTTGATGACCATGTTGGGTAACTGAAAAAACAGAGTGTCTGGAGGAACCATTGATGTTTAAGAATATGTGCAGGTTCAGTACTGTCTGACTAAGATGGCTATGGTGTCCCTGTTGGATTCTGTTGTCCTTTGTGTGCTCAGAGATAAGCAAACTGGTTTCAGATTAATCCTGCACTTTAGATTTCTTTGGATCCAAGCTCATTTCCTGACTGCATATTTACTGGAGTCCATTATGTGTACGTATGCCTGATGCTTCTGTTTGTGTGTTTGCGTGTATATCTGTGTGAATACACGTGTGTGTGTGTGTGTGTGTGTGTGTGTTATATGTACAGCTGGTGTTTCTACACTGCGATCGCTACGTAGAGTTCCACTCCCAACACGGGCACTATTACAAAACGCGGATCCCCAAATTCGGCCGGGACTTCTCCTACCACTACCCCTCCTGTGACCTGTACTTTGTCGGGGCCAGGTGAGATTACGACTGTATGGAGCTCATATCGCTTCTACTCACTGTGCCTGTGCTTCAGTAAGTGACCTGAAAATAAGCAGTGGAATAATATGTGGTTTTCAGTCACACATTGTGTAAATAAATGATATTGTGAAATTGTATGCCTCTTTAAATCCACCTCTGTCCTCAGCTGTGAATGTTTATATTTTTCCTCTACAGCTGGCTTTATTTTATTATAAGATTTTGTAACCCTTAGAGTACTGAAATAGTCAGCACATGATGGGTTTTCAACAGCCTTGATTTTTGATATCTTATATCATTGAGTTACTAGAGCTGGATACCTCTGTCAGCATAGCTGGATTTGAACTTTGACCTATATCTCAGCTGTACTTTGGCCTAGATGTTCCAATAGTTAATCACTTGTTCCTGTTGTGCTACTTTAACATTCTGCAAAGTTTGGTTAAAATTGTTTCAGAGATATCCTGCTAACAGACAGACAAACAAGTAAATAAATATAGCCGTAAGCGGCATTTCCGGGGTTCAAGCCAAGAAAGACCATTAGTAGTTGAAAGCTTTAACAGCTTAATTAAAAACCACTTTAAGAGTATGTTGCAGATATTTATGTGAATCTATTTTGCCAGTGTAATGATTGGACCAACAACTTATGATTTATAGTCTGATTTGTGTTATACCACGCTGCTTTGTTTTACATTTATAGCCCCCTATCGGTCAATTTGAATGAAATTTTCAGGGTATGTTTCAGGTACTTTATATGAATATATCCTGTGAGTTTTATGGTTATAGGACAAACAATTGCTGATTTATAGTCTGATTTGTGTCATGCCATGCCCATTTTTTGCATTTATAGCGCCCCCTATAGGCCGATTTGCATGAAACTATCAAGGTATGTTCCTGGTACTTATATGGACATATCTTGCGAGTTCCGTGATGATTGGCCCAATAGTTGTTGACTTCTGTCCATTTATGTGCTAAGCCACGCCCCTGCTGAAGTTCATTGGTCAATATCTTGGAAACGAAATGAGATTTCAGCAAGCCTTAAGCAGTTTTTGATAAGCTTGGTCTAATGATGATCCACAGCGAATTTCGAAGGAATCGGACCTACGGCCTAGGAGGAGATGTCAAAAATGTGTTTTTCAAAACATTCAAAATGGCAGAAAATCCAATATGGCAAAGCTGAGGTGTCCATGGGAAATTTGTAGAGTTTGGACCAAGGAATGTCTATACCAAGTTTCGTGTAAATCGGACTTACAGCGTAGGAGTTATGACCTTTAAAGTGAAAAACTGTTTTTCTTGAATTACAGCGCCACCATCAGGCCGATTAGGTTAAAAATGGCTTAAGCAGCATTAACACACAACTTCCAACCAATGTGCAAAATTTCAGCTCTCTACCATTTACCATCTCACAGGAATTTGCTAAAACATTTCTGAAGAAATGAAATAATAATAAATAATAATAATAAACCAGCACAAAAACAATAGAGCTGCCGGATGGCTCACTCGGAAAAGCATCGCTTTGCGAAGCAGAAGTGACCGTCACGGCGCGGGTTCGATCCCCGCCTCAGACCAACCAGCAGTGGTCGGCAGCTCTTCTCAGAAGTAGCGCGCAGTTGGCCAATGCGCTGCAGGTTACAGGATGCAAATTGGGAAGGGTCTGCTGGGAAGGGTTATGTAGATGTAGCTCCCCTAGGCGCCTCCTGTTGACCAGACGGGCGCTCATAAGGAAGATTCTGAGCTCGCCTGCGTTCGGGTATCATCTGCCCTCGTTCTGAGCTTGCGAAGTCTCACCCAGTGAATGTATAAGAAGCAGTGGCTAACGGGCGCGTGCTTTAGAGGGGAGCCGCGAGCTGTGTACACTCTCCTGAGTTGGCAACAGGAGGCCGCATATGCGAAAAAGCCTAAGTACTTGTACATAGTTCCCTAATTGGATATTCTAGATTCAGGTGGGATTGGAGATGCCAAATTTATTTAAAAAAAAAAAAAAAAAACAATAGGGATTCAGCCCTACAGGCTTGAACCCCTAAATTGACAAACGGAAGCAAAAACATGACCTCCTTGGTGGAGGTAACAATAGTTGTGTTTAATGCTCTAAGGGTTAAGAATTAGTGAGACTGCTTGTATAAAAAACGTGATGGATTAAGTATAAAATATTAAATAATGACACTTTAACATGACCTGTGGTGGGGTAGCAGACAGTGGCAGTTCAAGTCCTGTTGACGAATACCCAGGGAATCAGGAGTTCTGTAATTTCTACTGAAATAACTCTACATTACACCAGTGAGAGTGCTTAAGTGCAGTTCAACTTTGGTAGAATATGGTTTGGAGTTTATCCGTTTTGATAATTAACTTCAACGACTTGTAACTTCCTGATTAAACCTGTTTCCCAAACTTCACACCATTGTGTGGCGGACACCACTGCTGACATGGTCCTCCCCATTTTTAGTTGATACACATTTCTGTCTGTTCACTGACTTTTCTTTATCCCTTTGTAGCATTTAAGCAGCTGAACCCTAATTTGTTCTCATACGCTACAGGCCAAAATATTACGAACAGCCTGCATTCTTCAGAATTTGGCTGGTTTTGTCATCTTAAAGTTAATTTTGAGCAACAAAGGCAACACAAAATGCTAAAAATGTTGCTTGCTAGCAACTGTGCATCTTGAAATTCAACTCAAGTTGCAGTGGGAATGACTTGATTGGGCAGTCGGAGAGGTGCCCCCATCAAGTTCCAAAAGGCTCATGAAGGAACTCTTGAAAGCCCAGAATGGGTTACCTGGAAGTTCTCTCCTTAAACTGCTGGAAAGAATGCCTAAGATATGTCAGGCTGTAATCAAGGCTAAGGGAGGGTACTTTCTAGAAAGTCGAATTTAATGTATATCTCTTAGCATATAATTTGCCGTCAATTTCTGGTCAAGGTGTGCGTTTTTATTTTATTCTGTTTTTTGTTTTTGCTGAAACCATACATTAAGTTAAGAAAAACCTGCTAGATTCTGAAAAATGCAGTGAGTTTGTGATGTTTTGGCCTGTAGTGTATCTCCCTTGTCTCTGTTGGTTATGAAGTTCTGCAGGGAGCTAATGAGCGTCTCTCGTTTCATTCCCCTCATGATAAAATCATCATCCGTACTTACGCTAATGAATTTTAGCTCTCGAGAACTCATTCTAATGATGAAGACGAGTGCTGTTTTTATGAACCCTAATACGGTATAATTACTGTTGTTTTTCCAATTTGTCTGCAGAAGTAATTGAAGTGCTGATCCATAAGCTCTGAGAATTTGATAATGTGCACTCCTTTGCCGTGGTAATTTTACCCCACTGATGATGTGTTGTTGCAATAGCGATACTGCTCAGTACGAGAGGAGCCGCAGATTCAGACATTTGGTGTATGTGCTTGGCTGAGGAGCCAATGCTGCGAAGCTACCATCTGTGGGATTATGACTGAACTCCTCTTTGTCGAAGTCCCACCTGAACATTACGATATCCGTGTGCGTTGGGTCTCCAGCGGGCCTGGGATAGGCGGACTCTCAGGCTGCGGCGGAGTGCTGCTTGTGTCAGGGTCGGGGAGTGGACAGATAAGATGTCACCTCATCGCTGAGAAGCACTGCTTATTCTTGGGGATCCTGGTGCTGTAGCATTCCTAGATGACCGTGGTTCTGTAGTAACTTGGCTCTGAGGCTGTTAGAGTCTTTGAGTTGCCATATTTCAGGCTTTTAATTTGAAAACTTGTTTCTCTCTCACAGCTCTGAGGTCTACAGACTGAACCTGGAGCAGGGGCGGTTCCTGAACTCCTTACAGACGGACGCAGTGTGAGTGTCTACCCCTCTGTGTTTGTGTGTGTTTGCGGGTGTGTGTGTGTTTGTTTGTCTCTGTGTTTGTGTATTTTTTGTGTGCTGGGGTGTTGGTATGTTTATGTTTCTGTGTTTTTGTGTTTCTTTATATGGGTTTGTGCTTGTGTGTGTTTTGTTTGCGTGTTTGTGTGTATGTTTTTGTCTGCTTGTGTGTGTGTGCGTGTGTTTTGCGTGTTTCTTGTGCGCTTGTGTGTTTGTTTGTTTACGTGTTTGTGAATGTTTTCTTGTGTGTGTGTGTGTACTTTGTTGTCTGTATGTGTGTCTGTCTCCCTCTCTGCATTCCGTTTCATTGCCAGCAAAAATATACCCCAATGGTGCTGACAGTATGTGTGTTTTTGTGTGTGTCACTGCATGTGTGTGTTTATTGTTGTGCTCTACATTATGTGTTTGAGCGGACTCCTCGCCCATTGTGTGTGAGCGAAACTTCTGTCTCCTGTGTGTATGCCTTCCACACAGTCTGTGTGCCTGTGCTGCAGTTGGCATTTGCACGCCTTTCTTCTCTGTGTGGGAACCTGTCATAACTCTGAGGCTCATGTGTGCTGTTTGCAGGGAGAGTAATGTGTGTGACATCAGCCCTGTCCATCAGCTGTTCGCCGCAGGGACAGCGGAGGTGAGTGTGTGGACCTGTAAGCTGTGTTTGTTATCGGACAGGCCATAGCCGAGGGGCGATTGCGTGTCGCTCAGAACAGAGCTTGGAGGTTTGTTGGCTTAAGCCTCATTGTCGCCGCAGTCAGCTCAGTGCGGCCCTTAACCTCCTCCAGCTGGGATTTCAGGGCTGTGCTGTTGGATGTGTTGAAGCCCTTCAGTAACCTCACCATACGGTAAATCACATGATTACTCCAAACCCGTGCCCGTAGTCTTTTCCTAATTAGGAGAGAGAAGGAGTGCGCACCAGTGTTGGAGAGGTGCTGACCACGGTGTAAATACGAACGTGAAGAAGGGTAGTCGCACACTCATAGCCACGATGCAATAATAATAAATTTATTGACCACAATTAACCCTTGCCACTAAATACAAATAGTGCTGCTCAATGATGTAAGATATCAAATTCAAAGCTGTTGAAAATCTATTGTGTGGCGACTTGTTTAAAAAAGCTCCTGCAAGGGAGCTCTTTTAAACAAGTCAGCACACGATAGGTTTCCAACAGCCCAAGATAATTTAACTCATAAATTTTTTTTTTTTTATTTCAGCGCTCTAAGGGTTTAAAATCCCAAATTACCAACTAAAAAGTCTGAGGAAGTTTTGAGTAGAAATGAGTTATAATTTTATAACTCATTATTGCATTGTGGCTACACGTGTGCAACTGCCCTTCTTCACATCTTATTAGCAACCAAACATTAATTTGCAAATTTTTGAAGACTAATCGGTATTATGACAGCCCAATTTGTTTAACGATGACACAAAATGTCAACATGTCTTTAAAATATCCTGATTTCCTGTAGCTCATCAAACGGCACCAATGGTAGCTAGGCTTTTAAGTGAGGCTATTTTGCACCAATGTGTCTAATTCGATGTTAAAGATGTTTCCCATTTTAAATGTATGCCATTTCACAATTAAAACATTTTGAATGTTGAATTTAAGAGTCGTTTTAAAATATACTACTCAAAATTTGATAGGGATCATAGGAATTTTTTTGTGAAATGACATGCAAATTTGGTAACTGCCACTGATGAACAATATATTAGATAAATGACATGCAGTCAGACACAAAACACATTTGCAAGTGCATTTAATGACATTAAAAAATGAAATGGTGAAGTGTTTGAGTAGTATATTTTACACTACTAAAAAAAACACAATTATGGGAGATGGAATTCAGAGTAAGTTTTTAGTTGGTTAATGACTTATGTTATATCTGTCCTAACAATCAAGTTCAAGTTCAAGTGTTTATTTTGCCATTTGTCCAAGTACAGGTGCACAGGGGCATTGGAATTCTTGTACGGTTCACTCAGTGATTTGGAAAAAAAAAAAAAAAGCTCATATTATTTAGCACATAATTAAACGTCCACAGAGTTTAAAAAAAAAGCGCACATTCTAATAAATATACTAACAAATATTTAAGTTCAAAAAGTGCAATAAAAAACAAATGTGTATAGCAATTACATTGTCAGTATAGCCAATTGGTGATCGATTTGTAATTTTTTAATTAATAATTTCTCAATCATTAAAGGACTCTTTGTTGTTCTTGATTATCCAGTAAATAAATTGTTTGATTGTTAATTAGATGATCTAATACAGGAACAGGGTGAGGGCAATTATGCACTAAAAGGTGAGAGGCTTCAATGCCTCTGAAGGCACGCTACGGAAAATACCATAGAGTTCTCGTTACCCCACAGGGGAGTCAGGGTTAATGAGGTTTTTAACCCTATATTGCTCCTGGGTCATTGGCCCCTGCTCATATTCTAATCAGCTGTTCAAATGCTCCCTCAATGTTCCTCACGTGACATGTTTTCTGTGCCTGTGTGTGTGTACGTGCACATGTGTGCGCAGGGGAAAGTGGAATGCTGGGACCCTCGATCCCGGACTCGGGTTGGGATTCTGGACTGTGCTCTGAGCAGCGTGACGGAGGGCACAGAGTGAGTGTAGGCAGTGACATCCTGAGCACTAACACACAGATTTAAACACATTCATCTCCGTTGGCTTACAATGCTCCTATTGCTGTTAAAGGGAAGTGAATGCATTTCAGTAGCTTTAAATGCTTAATGGCCTCAAAGCACAGAGAGA